AGAAATGAGGGAAAACACAAAGACGTTGTAGATTTATCAGCAGTCCTTGTCTTTCCAACATGTTTCACATGGCAACAAAAAATACCAACGCAGTTGAGAAAAAGCAGAAAGCCCGTTTGTTTGTATTAGCACAAGTCTACACATGTGTACAGTGGATACAGAGCTTAGAGGAACGTAGAGACGGACGCCGGCATGGCAGAAGGACACAGGTTCATGTCGGTTTTTGTTCTTGTGAATCCATGCTCAGCTGCACAAACAGGCCAACATGGAATGTCCATCGGACAAGAGTATTTTATAGTTCATCTTACATAACACATCCTGGGTCACATGTTTTTGACCCCAAACCGGGAGAAAATGCAACAGTTTCCTCCTAAATGAAGAATTCTCATGGCTCCCAGGAGAAACATTTAATGTCCAGTTGGAGGCCAAACAGACACTTGGCAAGATTTTATGTTGATCTTAAAATCATATTTTTATGGCTTTTAGGGCAGTTTTATTTAAAACAAATTTTTGCTTTTCTTAAATACCAATTTTTAGAAAGAATTCTGCCTGCATGTTTTTTTTAAAGCTATTTTTGCTCTATGTTTTGGCCAATTTGTGAAGTCCTTATTTCTTAGGGTTGGGCTGTAGTTTGAGTCACCAAAGTCAACTCTGCATTGTAGAACTCTGAATCACAGAATTCAATTCCAAATATCTGTATCCTTTTAAATCAGAGTCAAAGTCACGGAGTTTGGGACAAGTCCCTATGATTTAAAATGAAAAGTTGAACTTTGAACCCAGGCTTTTGGGCCAGGGTCCGTTGCAGTGAAGAGATTTTCAAGTGAAGTCTCCTGAGTGAAGCCTGGTTTTGGTGAAGATGGTTGAAGTCATTTTGATTCAAATACCCAGGGTTTCTAGTCTGGAGTCTTTTATGTCGAGTCCAGGTGTAGGGTTTATATATGTGTATTCACACAACAAAGTTTGCCCTGCAATTAACCCATCCTTGAGGAGCAGGGGGCGCACACAGCAGCGCCTGGGGAGAGAAGAATGTTCTTGGTTCAAGCTCCAGACACCACAGGGTGGTCCAAGTCAAGTTCCCAGGGTTTGAAGTCAGAGTCTGCAGTAGGTCAGCTGAGAAAACATGTTGCACTTATTGTCCAGGTTCAAGTTCAAGTCCACACATTAAAGTGTAGTCCAGGGTTTAAATCTAAATCCACACTGATGCCATGATATGACACTCAAAGAAAGCTCAAATGTTTTTTTTTTAAAAATCGGTGTGACTTGGGTTTGGTGACATCACCAGTTAAACAACAACTAACCGGTTAAATTACAGTGTAGTGCATCGCTGGGCAATTTATTTAAAGCTGAGGGCTGTTAACGCTGGGGTGTTATTGCATAATTCAATCTTCCTGATCTGTAAAAACTCCAACAGTTCTGCTTCAGGGAATGTCAGGAATCTTGTCCAAAAAAAATACCCACAGATTATAGGGGCAACGAAGAAGAAGAAGAAGATTCCAACCATTTGTGTGGGAACTGTAGACTCTTGATACATGCTGGCGATGTAAAACTAGTCAAAAGGACAACATTATACAGTCCACACAGGAAACCTCATCCCACATCCCAATCAGAGAGCTTTCTGTGCTGAAGCAAACAGTAGTAGGGTACACCCTCCAACACTAGGGGGCAGAAGTGTGTTTTCTCTGGCCGTGAGCTGTTTTTGGGACAGGAGAGTTGGTGAATGGCAAAGGTTCTTTTGCGGTGTTTGTGCAGTAATGTAAACGTACGTGTATCTGTCAGCAGGTTGTCTCTCCTCACTGATATTTATCCCTTCAGCCTAAAAAGAAAAGAAAACTGTGATTTATTCCTGCAGCTGAGAAACCAAACTGGGACATGAACAGGAAAAGTCATTTATTTCTCAGTGGGACTTCTTTGGTAAGAAAACATAGAAATGTGTAAGAATGGGGAAATTTTGATATTGGCAATAGGAAAGCTGTAAAAACTGCAGTAAACATAACTAGAAAAGCAATAAGACGAAGCCACAGCCCCGATGTGGGCTCCAACATTGGCCTACATACCTGCAATGTGTCGGGACAAAACAAAACCTGTGGACAAAACCATGTGAGTCTCACTTTCTTTTGCCTACGTTGCTACTTTAGAGAATACAAATACAAGCTCTGGCTCGGGGGCCGCTTCCAGGTGCAATGACCCAGTTTCAGTTTTGACTGAATAACTGGGACATTTACTGCATGTCATGGAGATAATTCGCTATCAATGTTTTTAGGCATGCCCTATAAGACTATCACTGGAATATGAATTTGCAACTTTAGGTCGAGGAAGACAATGACGCTGATGTCAGTCATTTGTTTTATGTGTAGCCACGACTGACATCGCAACACTGAACTGGCAACAATGGCATTTCAGAAGCTAAGATGCAGGTCGAGATTCAGGGAAACGTATTTCAGTATATGCCCATTGCCAAATAATTGTGAAAAACCAAATGGAATTTTATACTAAATATAAATACAGAGTACTCACTGCTCCCCGGGTGTTTAAAACTGCCGACTGTTCATTTTGGCGATGGGTTCAAAGCAGAGGTCACATTTGGTTTTGTGCTGTGGTGAGCTGTATCACAATGACAAGTCGTTCACTTTCACTTTCACTTTCACTTTCACGGAAACTAGTGTAGTCATGCAGTCTCTATTGATGTAAATAATGTCTAAACACATCATAGACTTACTGAAATGTGTCGTCTTTGTCTTCAGGTTTTATCAAAGTACCATTTGTACAGACCTGACCTTAAAAATGAAAACTAAAGTCATTAGTAAAGTCATTAACTATCAACGCCATGGTGTTTAGCATGTTTTTATTAAGATGACGTATTTGTGGCGTTTAGTCAAGCCTGATATTCGTATCCTGACACCTTGCATGTCTGGGCATGAGCCTGTAAACTCTCGTCTGTCTGGCACATAATAACTGACTTTATAACCTGCATGCACTTCTGGAAAAAACAAGTGGAAAAATTCAGATTAATTAGCTCGAACCGCTAATAAATCACAAAAAAGATCAGAGTTTATTCATGGGAAACTACCCTCACAGGCTCCAGCACCTGCTCTGTGTCTTGCTCCTTGTTTTCCATCCTCTCGTTCATGTCTGAGTCTGGGGGCGGCGCCAGGATTTACAGATGTTCTGTGTTTGGAATCTGGGTAAAAGGTCACCATGCCGGCAACGAGATGGGAGCGGACATTTTGGGGAAATTGAATGAGCAGCTGTGGCGTGCACAGGGTCGGGGGAGTGATCGGTGGTATACGACCGCATGGCTTCATGAATGTTAATGACGGGGTGCAGAAACGGTAGAGTCCTCCAGGTTTATACATTAGAAAAGGAACCAAACAAAGAAGAAGAAAAAAAATAGTCCAGGAGTGGAAAATAAATGCATTCACTCAATCCAGGAAAATGGAAATAGTTTTCATGTCATTTCACTGACGGACTACTTCAAACAAATTTAGCATTCGATACCTGCTGCACATTCCAGAAGGAAAGGATCAGAGGTCAAGTCAGAATAAGTAACGAGTGGGTCAGTAGTGTTACCATTTGGAAAGGTAAGAGATAGATAGATGACGGAAAGAGAGAGAGAGAGAGAGAGAGAGAGAGAGAATGATTGATCTATAAGGACATATAAGGAAGATTAATCAACACGTCAGTCAGTTTCAACTTACAGAAATTAATCTCTTGGGCAAGTTGTGATGTCATTTGAAGGAAATACGACTCTGAGTTAAAGAAGAAACGCCTGTGTTCTATTATTTCTACCCATTCTTTGGTTATCCATGTGGAAACCCCTTTCTTTCTCTCTCTCTCTCTCTCTCTCTCTCTCCCTCCCTCTAAGAGAAGGCTCCGAGGGATAATAGTGTGGTTTATTACATTCCTGACACATTAGTGACAGCTAACCCTCAGCAGCGTCAGCAAGTCTCCCAGTTACCTTTCACCTACTTAGGCTGGGCTGCAGTGATGAAAGAGTTAAAACCCCGCTCTTTCTTTGAGGTCTGGCCCCTGATCACGTATTGCCTGTAAACTCCTCTGTCAGAGTTTGGTTGAAAAAAAAAAACCTCCAGGCCATGATGTGGGCATTCTCTGTGCTGTGAACTTTCCCCTAATTCTCACAGTCGTCATAGAACAGATCTGAGCTGAGGAGAAGAACCTCTGGACACATGGCCCACATGTTTTATCAGACATGACATGACATGACATGAAATATAAATTAGATATAAATTTAAAAAAAACTTTGATAAAACGTCAATCCTGGCTTCATTTAGAACACAAAATCTGATCTTTTTAAAATTTAGAATGTGGAATCTGTCACTTTAATACGTAAAATGTAACCTACATTTATTTCAATTCTACACATTTGAATTAGTAAAATGATACTAATAATTTTATTATATAATTGTGACAAATGTGCATGACAGGAATCTAGGTGTCACTGATCAGGATCATGTCACAATAAATTCAGTCACAACAAGGTAAAATATGAACAATTAATAATAATAATAATGGTGCAATTGTCCCCCTCAACTTTTTCTGGATTTTAAAAATTAAGTAATAATAAAATTTTTGGTGTTGGAAAAATCCAATTTAATTTGATTGAATTTGATTTTTCAGCTTTTCAGTTATCTCTCTTATTTTGGGCTCCTCTGCACCCTGTTTATCTTTTAATACTTTACATACATTTTTATTGCAGTACGCGTGTTAATGTAACATCATCTGACAATGTAGGTGTTGTTCTTGTGTTGAGTTCATCCATTGTTCAGTTTCCTCCTGTAGATACTACAGTCCCTGTCCCCCACAGTGCAGAGATAAAAGCTGTCTTTTTGTTATATCATGTCCCTCCTCTGCCTCTGACATGAATAGCTAACAGGGAGGTGGAGGAGGGACAGAAACCTGAGATTACTGCACCCCTCCCTCCTCTCAGTCAGCCAATGGCAGGCAGCCGGGAGTTGAGGGCTGTAAAACTATATAACTGCGCTGCCTGTGGCTGCACAGACAGGAGATTCAAGCTCTCAACTCATCCAATCCCAGAGGACAGAGAGGCAACACTGCTCACTTCATTCAGAAACCAAGACGTCTCATTCAGAAACTGAAAGAAACCATGAAGACAACACTGGCCACACTTACCCTCTGCCTGGTGGTGCTCCTGGCCACAGGTTTCCCCTTTGAGAGGAAAGGTGGGTCAGCCGCCGGCGGTGCTTCTAAGGAGAAGCGTGTGCAGTACGCAGCATGGGACGACGTGAATGTCATCGCCCACGGTCTCCTGCAGCTGGGCCAGGGGCTGAAGGAGCACGTCGACAAAACCAAAGTCCAGATGAGGGACATTTCCACCAAGCTGAAGGTCTTCAATCGCACCGTGGCTGAGCTGGGCGCGGAGAGCCACAGGCTGAGGTCGGAAGGCGAGACCCTGAAGGTCCAGGTCCGAGGGCTGGAGGACAGAGAGGTGCAGATGATCAATGTCACGGCCGAGCTGAGGGAGAAGGCGGAGGAGATGCTCCAGGAGAAGAGGACAATGAATGACAGGATGAACAGGCTGGAGCAGAAGGTGGAGAACATGCTGCACGAGACTGACACAAGTGCAGGGAGCAGGAACAAGACTGATGCTCACAACATCCAGGTGAGGAACTAGTCATTTTCATGTCTGTGTTTTGGTTAAGTCATAATGATATATTGAAGAACTTAAATTAAGGCCTGTGTCATTGATCCTCTGCTGAATGTTCAAAGTTGAACTCTTGTTATTACACAGCAGCGATATCCTGTATTTAAAAGCACATTTTTTATGCCGTAGATGATGGGTTTTCTGTAGTCTAGGACACTTTGAGGCTTTTACAGGGTGCACAGAGGGTAAGCTGAGGGTGGGGTTCAGGGGAGTAGAGGAGTGGGGGTTGAGGAACAAGTGGAGAGTACGTGCAGGGGAGCACGATGGAAAGGCTGCCACACAAAGGAGCTTGTATGCATTAAGCCAAAGAATGCATGGATAATTTTACACAGCTGTCAAACTTTAGAACCGTGGACCACATGGTACGCACGAGAAGAAGCGTTGGGTGGATGTGTAGTTACGGGAGCTGCAGCTCCAACACCTCAACAAAGGAGCAGCATGTCAGCCTGAAAGGCAATATATTGGGATGGAAAATCCCACACTGAGAAGGAGTTACATAACCCGAGAACAGTGGGCTGAAGAGGAGAAACACTTATCTTTGAATGATGCCCATTTCAGGGTGTTAGTGAATCCCCCATGACCCTCATGTGGGCCAGATTTGTTATCGTGTTTCATGTGCAACAGTTACCTTTGAAACCAACCCTTTTCGTTTTGTTTTTTCAGCTGATGCTGGAGGCTCAGAACAAACGCATTGATGATCTGATGGAGAGGATCCGACTCCAACAGGAGAAGCTGGACAAGCAGAACATGCGCATCAGAACCCTGCAGAGTCAGGTGAGCAAGACTGACAACAGAAACAGAAAAAACAGAAACCTGAGGGCATTCTATAGAAACTCAAAGTCGTGGGTTGTTGTGTTGCAAACATTGTAGCCACAACTTTATATATAGTTCTTTTTGGTTCCAGGTCCAGTTACGACTGAGAAGCAGCAGCACCACGGGAGGTCCTGCCATCCTGGAGCAAGGGGACTCACCACTAGGTAAGTAAAGCCCCTGAAAATCCTCTCCTAACGTGACATTGAAATCTCAAAGTCCACTGCACACAATGTGTCACACCACCATCTGTTGAGTGAGGCCCCAAAGGAGCTTACATCTATGGCAATTAAAGTCAGGGAGTCAATTCGTTGCGGGTGTTGCTGGCGT